GCAGGTGCAGGGTGCAGGGAGCAGGTGCAGGGTGCAGGGTGCAGGTGCAGGATGGAGCACCCAATAGCAGGTAAGGAAGTGAGGATGAAGAGGAATACGGGGAGTGGGGGGGCAGAGACCTTATTTCATTCAGGCCTAAAGATCCTGGGCTCTTTAACAAGTAACATTTATGACTGACAACCCTGAACTTCAAAGGCTGGGGTCTGCTGACAGGTGCAAACAAGCAGTCAGGCTTGGGGAGCCTTTTCCTGAGATCACGTCTCTCAGGAAGCACCTCTCCCCACAGACAATGCCACCCCACTCCAGACCCACTTAGGATTCAAGTGCAAAACAAATTAAGTTGTAATCACTCCGTGTGTTGTCTCCTGTTGAACTTGGTAAGGACCTTCTGTACGTGAACCGTGGAGATTACTGTCTGTCACAGAATGCTGGCTCCGTCACTCACTGGCTGTGTTACCATTGGCAAGTATACACAGTCTCCACAAGTAACACCAGACACACAGCAAACCCCGAATAAATGGGACCAGAAAAGAAAAGGTAAAACCCCGGATCCAAGGTGTGAGCTCAGGAGGTGAGTGCGCAGGAAGCAGGTAAACCTCCAAGTCCACAGCATTTCTACAAAGCAGCAAAGAGGAGGAACACCAACATCAGAAATGTCATCACACCAAAAGTAAATAAAACGCACCTAATAAAACATGCACAAGACTGTACGCTGAAATCTACCCACTGCGGATGGAAGACACGGAAAGTGCGCGCGGTCAACGGAGACATGCCGCTGGATGGCTAACTTAGGGCCAAGCAGCTCCCGCAGAAAATCAAGTGGGGTTTCTGTTGATATAAGATTATTCTAAATGTATACAGAACGGTAAAGGGACAGGAAGAGCTAAAACAATATTGAAGAATAAAGTGGGAGAAGTCGGTGTGCCAAGTGTTAAGATGTCTCAGAAAGCTACAAAAATCAAGACCATCTGTCACTGGTGGAGACACAGAGCTCAACAGAGCAGACCGTGCAGCCAGCAGCAGACCACAGATACACCCAGGGCCTTCGGACAATCCAGTGCAGGACGTGGGGGTCTTTCATTAAACTGGACATCCAAACACAAAGACATACGACTCACCCCGGGCCTAACACCTTACATAAAGCGAACTCAAAATCAATCACGATTCAAATACAGCCTATCACTTACAGAAAGACACAGCAGAAAACTCTTAGGAAGGTAGAGTTGAACAATTCTTCTCCAGTTTGCTGACACAATCCCTTTCCTTGTTTCCACAGAACTATCACCTCATATGCACGTGAACGCTGGACAACAAAGACGATGGCAGAAGAACTGATGCCTTTGAGCTGTGGGGCGGGTGGACCAATGCTGGTGGACCCAGGTTCTGCCAGGAAGGCCCAGCGCTTTCCTGAGGACGTGCAGCTAGAGCGATCCTTAGACGAAGGACAGTGAGACCGGCCTACTACGTGCTGGACACGGAATCAGAGAGAGCGTGCCCTGGAGTACAGCTGCCTTCTCCAGGCAGGGAGGTAGCGGGTCCGTGAAAAAGAGGAAGATTTTCACCGAGATGGACTGAGGGGACTGGCCAGGAACTGGACATTGGGCCTGAGCGCAGACATGCAGGCTGGACAGGGATGGCCTGAGGGGACTGGGCCCGAGTGAGCACAAACTGTAAGGAGGTGTGGGCTGGACTGAGGGGACCAGACACTGGGCCTGATTGCACTGTGAGGACGCACAGGCTGGATGGGGACGGACTGAGGGGACTGGGTCGGGGCCTGAGCGCAGCGCTGACCGTGAGGACACGTTGGCTGGATGGAGACGGACTGAGCGCAGCGGACGTGTGGGCTGGATGGGGACGGACTGAGCGCAGCGCTGACCAAGAGGACGCGTTGGTTGGATGGAGACGGACTGAGGGGACTAGGTCGGGGCCTGAGCACAGCTGTGAGGACGCACGAGCTGGGCAGTTTGGTTCTGTTACACGTGGGTCGGACTTATCAGCACCTGATGACACCCCATATCCATTTTAAAAGCATACACAACCCACTGAGATAAATAACCAAACAGAATTAGATCTCAAACCTTTCCTTCCCTGACAGTCGTGACATCTGGGCTCAGAAGGCATCTTCCTGGGGCATGAGGAACAGCTCTGGGCAGGCTGATCAGACCCCTCTGTCACGGACACAGGCCTGGACAGAGAGACCACCGTGTGCAGGGGCCCCTCCCACAAGTGGCTGCGGTGTCCTGTTTACTTAGCTGCATTGTGGCAGGGCGGGCTGGCACCACCACGTCCGCCTTTGGCCCATGAAGTGCCCCTGGGACTTTCAGGTAAGCAGCCATTTACTGTGAGACTTAATGTCAATGCCGTTAGCACACACACTTCCTCCAGAAACGTGAGCACTGCACCTACGGTGGTGTCTTCAGTTTACGATTACTTATTAAAGGTCATGCAAGTAAAGATCATGGGCCCGAGACAAAGTTTTGATCAAAGCTCCCGTTAGGACAGCGCGTTAAACCCCACTCCTCTCTCCCCCTCTCCCACAATCCTTTGCTCTCTTCCTTTCCAGCCTGATCTGGGCGCTATGGCCTCGCACAGAAGGGTGGTGAGAGGGCCGTTCTGCCAGCAGCACATTCACACGCATCCGTGGAAGGAGCTTTACGAAGCGCACCCCTGGGCACTCAAGGATACCTGGGAATTTGCCATGATGGACATGGAAACACCAGATGTTTGCACTGACACCCGGCTTAACACAGCCGTCTGGGCCAAAGGAATGAGGAACATCCCGTACCACAGAGAAGCTAAGATGCAGATTCCCTAGACGAGCTGTGTACACTGGTACCTTTGAACCTGTTCCACTTTCAAAAGTCTACAGACTGTCAATGCGGGTGAATACTAATAGCTGATTATTGTTTTTTGTTGTTATTGTTATGTGCCATCAAGTCGTTTGTGACTCATAGAGACCCTATCTATGTACAAGAGCCCTAAACACCGTTCTATCCTGTGCCAACCTCGCCATCTCCGACACACTCAGTCCCATCACCCCAGTCACAGAATCGATCCATCTCATTGAGGGTCTTCCTCTCCTGTGCTGTCCCTCCACTCTCCAGACATGATGTCCCTCTCCAAGGACCAGTCCCTCCTTGCAACATGCCCAAAGTATGTCAGACAAAGCTTCAGAATCCTGGACTCCAACAAGCATTCCAGCTTTACCCTCTCCAGGACAAACCTGTTTGTTCTCCTAGCAGTCCATGGTATAGTCAACACTCTTCTCCAGCACCACAGCTCAAAGGCATCAATTAAAACTGTAAAAAAAATAAGAATCCCAGTCCTCTGGCAGGTGTGGCTGGGAGTTGCTCTCAGAAGCAACTGTGAAGGATGTGGAGCAACAGGAGGGCAGCCACCCTGAAACTGTGTGCCCAACAAGAGACAACCAGGCAACACAGAGTCAGCCTGGAGGTGATGGAAGTCGGGGTAAAGCCTCACCTCACAGAGCTGGACACGTTACCAGGAGAGACCAAGCCCTGCAGGACATCATGCCTGGCCAGTGGACAGTAAGTA